GTCCCAGCTACTTGGGAGGCTGAGGCAAGAGAATTGCTTAAGCCAGGAGTTGGAGGTTGCTGTGAGCTGTGATACTGCAGCACTCTACCCAGGGTGACAGCTTGAGGTTCTGTCTCAAAAGAAAAAAAAAGAGGGGGGAGAGGAAATAAATAAACAAATAAATAAAGCTAAAACAAAAAGTAGGATGGCTCAGTGGGTAGGGCGCTGGCCCCATATAATGAGGGTGGTGGGTTCAAATCCAGCCCTAGCCAAACTGCAACAAAAAAATAGCTGGGTGTTGTGGTGGGCACCTTTAGTCCCAGCTACTCAGGAGGCTGAGGCAAGAGAATTGCCTAAGCCCAAGAGCTGGAGGTTGCTGTGAGCTGTGATGCCAGAGTACTCTACTGAGGGTGACAAAGTGAGACTCTGTCTCTAAAAAAAAAAAAAAACAACAAAAAAGTAAAAGTGTTAAAAACAAAAAAAGGTGGGGGGGGCACCTGTTGTTCAGTGCTTAGAGCACCAACCCCATGTAGCAGGAGTGGCAAGTCTGAACCTAGCCTGGGCCTGTTAAATAAATAAAGCTTTAAAAAAAAGTAGAAAGGGAGAAGTTAGTTCTATCACTTCAGGGGAAGTAAACCAGGTTTCCTAATCTAACCACATATCAAAAGTTTAAAAATTTTAGGTGGCACCTGTGGCTGAAAAGAGTAGGGTGCTGGCCCCATATGGCAGAGGTGGCAGGTTCAAACCCAGCCCCAGCCAAAAACTGCAAAAAAAAAAAGTTCAAATATTTTAATTCCTCCCATTTATTGACTCTCAAATGCCTAGGCCTAGTCTAGCCTGTCTGGGTGCTTCTGTGCTCTTTTCTTTCTTCTTTTTTTTGTAGAGATAGAGTCTCACTTTGTCTCACTTGGTAGAGTGCTGTGGCATCACACAGCTCACAGCAATCTCCAGCTCTTGGGCTTAGGCCATTCTCTTGCCTCAGCCTCCCGAGTAGCTGGGACTATAGGCGCCTGCCACAACGCCTGGCTATTTTATTTTGTTGTTTTTGCAGTTTGGCCAGAGCCGGGTTTCAACCCCCGCCCCCTTGGTATATGGGGCCAGTGCCCTACTCACTGAGCCACAGGCACCGCCCTGCTCTTTTCATCTTCAGTGGTTTTAAGGAACCCCTGGGACTGTCCGTCTACAGGCTTTTCCCTGTATACCCCAGGATTGAGGCGGGGTGCCGCCCTGAGAAGTCAACCTATCCATCTCCCACATCCACCTGCCTCATCCTACTT